ATGTGATCTAACTTGATTAATCTACGTAAAGATTCAAAGTTCACATGTCCTAGTCTACCATGCCACAAAATGAAAAACTCAAGCATGTAAACAGAAGAAGATGCACCTTTATTCATCTTTGGGATAATAGTCATTACATTGAGTTTAAACATACCCCCCAACATATAACCCTTACCTACATACATTCCACTCTTGGATAGAACAACCTTGTCGGACTCAAAAACCATGCGAAAACCATGTTTACTGAGAAGAGACCCTGAGACAAGATTCTTACGAATGTCCGGAACATACATGACTTCGTTCAAGGTTAGCTCCTTTCCTGAGGTTAACATCAGGACCACCTTTCCTTTCCCCTCAATAATAGAGGTAGCAGAATTTCCCATAAACAACTTCTCACCATTTGTAATTGGTTCGAAAGTTGTAAACAACTTCTTCATGAAGCAGATGTGGCGTGTAGCCCCAGTATCAATCCACCATTCTTTTGGATTTGAACCCACCATATTCACCTCAGAGACAACAGAAGACAAGTGCATGTCATCCTCATCATGGGAGTGCTCTTGCATATCTGTCATATGAGCACGGGGTTTAGTCTTGTATGGCTTCTTCTGTTTACGACAATCACTCACCCGATGCCCCTCGCTACCACAGTTATAGCGTTTTCCTAAGAACCGATAACCAAATTCCTGCGGCTTGTAAGCCGACTTCTTTGCAACACCACCCCTTGGCCCTAGCTTAGAGCCCTTGTTCACAGGGGGCTTCTTCCTTACCCTAGAAGAATTTCCATGCTCAATGACATTGGCCTTTATTGAGGAGATACTCCCTCATTTCTTTCCATTATCCTCCTCAATTCGGAGTCGGACAATCAGTTCAACTGACATTTCCTTACGCTTATGCTTCAAGTAGTTTTTGAAATCCTTCCAACCATTAGGAAGTTTCTCAATGATCACAGCAACTTGGAATGACTTGTTCAAAGGCATTCCTCCGCATGAATTTCATGCAAGGTCACTTGGAACTCCTGGACTTGACTTATCACAGTTTTTGAATCTACCATTTTAAAATCTAGGAACCGGCCAACCACAAATTTCTTTACGCCGACATCCTCAATCCTGTACTTTTTGTCCAGAGATTCTCATAACTCTTTTGCTGAGCTCTTGGTACAAAACACACTATAGAATGAGTTTGCCAAGCTGTTGAACACATAGTTTCGGCACAGATAGTCTGTCTGCTCCCATGTGTCAAGCGCCATGACTTTCTGCCTGTCAGGCTCATTCTTTGTCACGGCTCGAGGATCCTCGCTCAAAACCTTTGCAAGGTTTAGCGTGGTTAAGTAAAACAATATTTTTTGCTACCATCTCTTAAAGTTCACCCCAACAAATTTTTCTGGGCGTTCATGGTGACTAAGCGGTCCTCTCGGAACAGCCAGAGTAACGCCATGGTTGACCACAAAGCTCACAGCAGTACGGGTTGGCAAACCAGTTGCCCCGGGGTTCAGATCCTCACCAACATTAACATTAGCAGTAGCAGCAGCATCAGCATCAGTGATAGTTGCCATTTTTGAAAATTACACCAGAATATCACTTCTGTGTTTCCAGAAATTAAACTTAACCCTTAAAAAATCCCTCAGATGAAAAGTTAATTCAAAATTTTAGTCTCACCACAAAACCTAGAATCGAACATGGTCAAGAAAGTTTCCAGGAAGACTGGAGGGGTCACATCAGTCCCACTTAAAACCCAGTTAACCTTTTGACAAAACTTTCAAGAGCTTGTTGACTCCTAATCCGTGATAAACAATTTTAAGAATTAAATTTTCTTAGGGATGAACTAGGTTAAAACAAATCAAGGTCCAAAACTTTTACAAGCAATGTAAAATAATTGCTACAACAATGTAAGCAAATAAAACTTGCTACTGCAAATTGGTAAACAAACCAACTAAATCTCAAGCAAATTTGCTTCAAACATTTAAATAAAATAGTCAATCCATAAGGATTCTATTTAGTCCAAAAGCCTTTCCACGCTTAGGTATTCCTATTCAACACAAAGGTTAGTAGTCCAAATATTTTTGTTTTTACATCCCAAATTCTATTCATTTGGTTTTGTATTTGTTTTTCCATTCCCTTTCGCATTGGTATGCCTACAAAGAAAGTTAGTAGCAAACCACAACAAAATACAAACAAATAATCTAAGGAAAAAAAAAGAAGTAAATTTAATAAATTAAATGAAACCATCTAGCCAACTATTAATTATATAGGTAACCAATTAATATAAGGTACCAAAACAAAATACAATTTGTAACTTCAAAATTAAATTATAACTTTAAAATAAAATTTAATAGTCATGAGTTATTAATTCACAACAACCATGTAAACTTGTAACTCCACATAAATAAATTAAAACCAAAAATTAATGCCCGCAATTAGATAATTTAGATTAATGTACCCAATTAAATTCAAATTAATGCACCCAATTAAATAATTTAGATTAATGCATCGAATTAGATAATTCAGATTAATGCACCCAATTAAATTCAAATTAATCATGTACACAATTCATAAAACTCTATAATTCCAAAACACATTAAACTAAAATTAATAGGCAAGAGTTACATACCAATAACCATTTAGCAATTAACATATGCAAATAATTCTAAAAAAAAAAAATTAAATTATGTAATCTAGTCTAGAAAATAATAAGCAAGTAACAAATTAAAAACTAGAATAGAATTAGCATGTCAAAATTGCAACATCCATAAATTATATTTTATAACCTTAAAATTCATGCAAATTATGGTAGGGGAATGATGAACCATACGCATAAAATAAGATCATACTAATACAATTAAGTATGCAAATTATGATAGAGCATTCTAACTAAACTAAGCAATTAGAGAATAACATTGCATAATATACAATCATTGAATTTCCAAAGGAAAAACAAACAGTGGACTTTCTCTTTAGTACAGGTAGTCTACTTAAATAACAGAAGCAATAGCATGCAATATGTCTAAGACACACATGGATCTATTCACTAGCAAACACAAATATATTAATGTACTCAAAAGGATAAATCAGTGCAAAAAGGCATAAAAATAGTTTTATGTGCATGCAAAGAAGCAAAATCATTAATCGGCAATTAACCTATAGAAAACGAAACAATGGCCTATTCATATAAATTACTTGAATTTCTAAACATACAAATTTATATTTTGTATCATTGAAATAGTGAGCAATTCCACAATAGTTTCTAGTAACATAATACAAAGCTAACCTAATTGTCTATATAAATCTATTCGATCAATTTCATAGAAAATATATAAAAATCTGTTTTAAGCTTGTTGTCCAAATTGTGAAATTAAATAGATAGATTTATGAAAAAATCAAAATTATATACCAAGAACATATGCTGATAATTACAATTAAATTACAACAGAAATAGGCAATACAATAAAATGGTAAAGAAACCAAACTGAAGCCTGCATGGTAGCAGTTTTCTTAAAATAGATTTCGCCGCCTCACGAGTCGAGTGCTTGAGGAATCCCGGCGTCTGTCTCCCAGGATACGACGATCAAAAACTAGCTATGGCAGAAGCACATTTTGTCTAGCTTAGCGAACAAAAACTATGGCAGCACTCTCTTACTGTAGGAACTATCTGGCAAACTGGCTTGTAAAATGGAAGTAAAAATTTCTATATAGAGACTTGACAGGAGGGTCTCAATTTATGCATGTAAAGGGGAGAGAAGAAGAGCCTCCAGCCTTTAAGGCTGGTCATTAAAATACCATTAACCAGCATCCATAACCCCTTTTCAAAAAGTTGAAAAGTTTGGATGCCCAAAGGATTCACACCCTTTAGCCAAGAAAAATGATTTAAATATCCTTTAAAATCCCATTCATGAATCTAACATCATGAGACAATTTCTTGGCAATTTCTTATTCAAATCTCAATGATTTTTGGTCCACTTAGACCTAACACAATAGATGATTGTGACCTACTTTAATATTTAATTAAAATCACCACACTTTAATATTAAATTAAAGTCACCAAAAAATCATTTTTTTCAACACATCATTGGTTGTTTTTGAAGACATTTTGTGATTTCTAATATTTTAATTGTCATTTTGATTCTTAAAATGTTTAAATAGAGTGTTTTGACTTGAAATGAAATATTTATCAAAAGTCATTTCATTCTGTTTAGAATTATTGAGAAATTTTGTTTGTATAACATTACTCTTCAAATTAAAGGTTCTATTTTTTTTCCCTTAAAATGCAGTTCAAATGCATTTTTATTATATGACATTGTTACTTTAGGCAATTTTTTTTTTTTTTTCCTTTTCTTTTCTTTAAACTGCAATCCACAAAGACTACAAGTAACTCATACATTACCTAGTAGCACCCTTAAACAAATAATTTGGTAATACAAATATTAATATTGTTGGTGCAAGTCTTCCACCACCTCCACCTACAAATAATAATAGTAGAAAGCATTAAAGAGAATGAAAGAAAACAGATAATTGTAATTTTTTTTTTACTCTTAAGAAATTGGCATCAAAGCCAGTTGACTAAAAGTGAAGACATATGAAACTAACTGGGTTGCATTTGGATCTGAGATTTAGAAAGAAAATGAAAAGGAAAAGGATTTCAAAAAAAACAAAAAATCACATTTTGTTTCATTCACAAATTACTTTCTTGATGAAGTCCAATCCACTTGCTCGAAATAATTTATTCAAACCAACAAAAATCAGGCTTTGACAATCGAATTAATTTTGAATAAATCTAAGGCTGGTAATGACGCTGGTAATGACACTGAAATTTTCAATATGAAGCTGTTAGCAAGTGGGAATATATCATATGGCCTTCTCTCCTATTTTATTTTCTTACGATTAACTAGTTTGTTTGTTTTTTCCTCAAGAAATTGGCATCAAAAGCCAGTTGACTAAATGTAAAGACGAGATAAAAATATATAAATAAAGGCTCTTCAATGTGTCTTCATTTGTCACACAAACATCATGGGGAAGCTGGTGCGTACAATTGTGATCCTTTTTTCAATGGTCATGGCCACGGCAGCAGTTCATGGCATAGCCGAAGATCCAAAAGCGGTTGAAAAGTGGTTCGAGAAGCTAACCCATTTAAAACAAAAGTTAACAAAGTTTCACTTCTACTACCACGACATACTCAGCGGGAAGAACCCGACTTCCGTTCAAGTCGCTGGATTCAACGTCTCCGCAAAATCACCCTTTTTGTTTGGCCTAATCAACATGTTTGATGATAAATTGACACTCGGGCCTAACATCACTTCAAAACAGCTGGGTCGGGCTCAGGGGATATATGGGGCGTCTTCGTTGGAGGAAGTAAGTAATTTTATAACCATGAATTTGGTTTTCACTGATGAAAAATATAACGGCAGCACTCTGGCTCTTCTAGGCCGCGACCCAGTTTTTGATCGGTATCGTGAGATGTCGATCGTCGGTGGTACCGGTTTTTTCCGACTCGCACAAGGAATCGCTACCGCGAGTACTTATTCCTTCAATGCAACCCCGAATAGTGCTGTGCTTGAGTTCCATGTTATAGTTATTCATTACTAAAGCTTAGCTATCTTTGAATAACTAGTTACAATGCACACAAAGTTCTATTATGTGAGTGGACCTCACATTCCATATAAAAGAGATAGTCATTCGAAATTCTTGTATTGTGATAGAATTTTAATAATCATGTACCAATAATATTGTGATAAATTTTTTTTTTTTTTTTTTTTTTGTGCGCGCGACTTACGTATAATATTTCTGAAAAGAATTGATAATAAGTCCACTTGTATGGATGTATGATATTAGTTTCAATGATTAATTTGTTTTGATTACAGGAACATGATTAATGAAATATATTAGCGAGAATAACAAATTAATTTTAAAGGAATTCGCGGCAAAAGTTACCAACTCCAAAAAAATTATTGGAAAAGTCAATGAGAAATTGGTTGGGGTCGGAAAAGTCACCGATAACTGTGACAAATGACAAACAAATGTGTACGTGGACAAATAAACAGATACATAGAAGTAACTATGCTTGGTTTTCATTTTTTAAAAATATTTTTCAGAAAATTTTATTTTTTTATTTTTTGTGTTTTTTTGTTTTTACTGAATTTTTTTAATATTTTGAGCAATTTTTTTAATTTTTAGACATACCTAACATAAATATACCTAAAAAGTAAAAAAAAAAAATGAAAAAAACTTTTTAAAAATTCACTAAATATCAAAAATACAAAAAAAAATATGAGAATTCAGTACATTTTTTATATTTTTATGTATTTATTAATTTTTAAAAATATTTTTTCACAAATTTTTTATTTTTTAGATACATCTAAGTAAGGTGCATCTAAAAAGTAAAAAAAATGTTTAAAATTTTAAAAATATTCACGAAAAACAAAAAAACATGAAAATCAAAAAACTCAATTTTTAAAAAACTTAATTCAAAAAACTCAAACCAAACATACTGAATATTATTTTTAAATTGTTGTCTTTTGGTATGAAATTGTTTTGTCCTAAAAATATATGTATTGATGACATTTTAAAAATTTTATCACTAAAGTTTCTTTTTTTGACTTTTCAAAATTTTTTTAGTGACAACTATTGTGATAATTGGAATTGATCTCTTAATATTTTTTGTAACAAAATTTTTATTCTTAAAAATAAAAAAATAAAAAAAAATTGGATAAATTATGCAAACGGTTTCTATAGTTTACACGATGTGTTAATTTGATAGATTGTGTCATATTGGTTCAATAAATAACAGTCGTTAAGTTTGGTGGACAGAAAGTCGTTATGTGCTCAAACGATGTGTCAATTTAGTCTTTTTAATTTACACAATGTGTCAATTTGGTCCCTATTATTTTAATTTGCTCGATTTTGATAGAGACAAAATTGACACATCGTGTAAATTATAGGGACTATAAATTGACACATCGTTTGAGTTTCTGTCCATCAAACCTAACGATTGTTATTTATTGACCAATATGACACAATATGTTAAATTAATGGATAAAATCGAACAAATTAAAATAACAGAGATCAATTTGACACATCGTGTAAATTATAAGGACTATTTACATAATTTACCCGAAAAAAAACTTTTAAGTCCTAAAAGTAGATCCTATAAAATATATAAATCACTCTTTGATTGTCGAATATAATTAATTTTGCATAGGTCCAGGGCAAGTAATGACACTAATTTTTTTTAATATATGAAGCACAAAGCATGTGGGAAGATATTATATGCCCTTCTCTTCTTTTTCAAATACTTTATGATTATCTAGTTGGGAATGGTTGTGTATGAGCTGTGCTGCTTCCATGTACAAGCAATAATAATAGCAAGGGATAGTTTTTCCCAAAAAAAAGTCAATGTCATCATGTTCCGAGAACTCCACAAGAGAACTTGAGGAGTCTATAGAACCTATTATAAGTTTCATTTCGATAATCTAACTGTTTATCTTGTAAATCTCTTAATGTATAAAATTCATGAAAAAATTTAAATTAATTCGATAATCATAACTTTTTCATTTCATAGCATTTGTCTAAAAAAATATGAATGGTCCATTTCAAAAATATATTTGTCATCTATTTTTTTCGAAGACAAATGCAATGAAATGAAAAAGTTACGATTATTGGATCGAACTAATTTTTTTCATAGATATTATACATTGAGGGCTTTACAAAATGAACGACTCGGACCATCAAAATGGAACTCATGGTGGGCCCTATAGACCGCTCAAGTTGTCTCATGTTGAGGTCTTAACATGAGAGAAATCCAACCATTATTTTATTATTTACATTATATCTTTACCATGCTCTTTACATGTGACAAAACTTTGCCAACAAGTGAATTAAATATGTGAAATTATTTTAATTATCAATAGATGGTGAGATTAAATGCATAATTTATTGTCTACTCTGATATTATGTTAAATTATTAATTACAAAATATTAACTTAAACATTATTAATGTGTGCTCTTAATCCTAAGGACACATGATAAAGAAATTTAAAAGTATTATATATTCTATTAGACTCACTTTAATACATAACATACAAACAGACAAATATCTTAATGTTAACAAAACCCTAAACTCATCTCCTAACCAATTAAGTTTTTATATAAATTAATAATCAACAATTCAACAATAATTAATACCACTTGAATTTACCAATGCTACAATAATTATACCCATTCCAAAGAGTGTATAGCATTACCTGTTTTTTTTTGTCTTCTCTTTGTTAAAAATATCATCCTTAGCTGTTACATGTACACTTTATACATAAGTTGAGTAAGGTTTATAATTTTATAGATGTAACAATGATACATCCATCTAAAATTAGAGTTATAATTGAGTTCTATTGAAGTGAAAAATAAAAATTAAAAAAAAAAAAGACAAAGCCAAAACATCACATCAAATAAGCCCTACATACATATTAGAGCTATTAGAGCTTCAAAACATTTTTCTAGTACCAACACACAAATTCAATAGCTCTACTGGGTGAGCTCTAGAAGCTCTTGATGAATGAGGCCTATCATGTGACGTGATATTTGGTGCTAATTTTTTTTTCTTTAACTTTATCACATTATTAGAATTCAAATTAAAAGTCTAGATTTAGAGTTCCGTATCATTTCTCGGTCTTCTTTCTCTGTCGGCCTTTCGTTTTGATCCTCCCCTTTTCTTTTTCTCTTTTTTTAATATCGTAGTATCCACCGGTTTAGAATTTTATGTTTATAAGAGTGGGAAAAAAATAAAGATATGTTCTCAAAACAATGACACTGTGTCAAACAGTAGCCCTCTCCTATTGATGTCTTTTGTTGTACTACACATACTGTTTTTATATTAATAAACATTTCTTTAGTGAAAAAAAAAATCCCAAGTCCGGCATTTAATACAAGACCCCAAACAAAACGGTTTTTATTAGTGGGCAGAAAGTTATTGTTTGTTAACGTTATTTAAAAATTGAGATCTAAAAAAAGAAAAAAAAGAAATGCTTATTTAATCATATTTACTAAAAAGTATTTATCTATATATAAAAAATCTATATAATAAAGTAGGATGGTTTTTGAATTTGTTCTACATACATTTGTCCTACTAGGATATTTAGACGGCTTAGATCTATTCAAATTATAAAATAACGGCTGAGGTATATTTTTCAAAAAATATTCTACATGTACATTTTCTATTTTTCTGCTTCTCTCTTTTACTTTTTCCTTTTCGCACACATTCTTCCATAATCCCACCTTCCTCTCTTTTCTTTTTATTTTTTTTTATTTTCTCTCATTTTTTTTCTCTCTATTTGTTTTTTTTTATTTTTTATTTTCTCATTTTTGTACACTTATTTTTATTCATATTATATGGAAAAGTCTGCAATCTCAGAATTAGGAGCCAGATTTTACTGTGTGTAGTGGAAATTAAATTAATGAATTTTATAGTCCACAAATTAAATGAATTTGAACAATTAATTATTATTTTTAAATATTTGAATACCTGATAGAATTCATAAATTTAGACCTTATATTAATCTTCAACGTCTATATAGTAAAGCTGGATGATTTTTGAATTTGTCCTACACAGATTTGTCCAACTAGGACATTTGGACAGCTTAAATCTATTCAAATTATAAAACAACGGTTGAGATATATTTTTCAAAAATATAATACATGTACATTTTCTATTTTTTCACTTCTTTCTCTTACTTTTTTCTTTTCTCACCCACCCTTCTATAATCTCATGATCCCACCTTCCTCTATCTTTTTTTTTTTTTTTTTTTATTTTTATTTTTCTCTCTATTTATTTATTTATTTATTTTCTCCTTTTTGTTCACATATTTTTATTCATATTATATGGAAAAGTCTACGATTCCAGAATTAAGAGCCATATTTTACTGTGTGTAGTGGAGATTATATTAATGAATTTTTTAGTCTACAAATTAAATGAATTTGAACAATTAATTATTATTTTTAAATATATTAAATACCTGATAGACTTCGTAAATTTAGACCTCATATGAATCTTCAACATCTATATAATAAAGCAAGCTGGTTTTTGAATTTGTCCTACTAGGACATTTAGACGGCTTAGATCTATTCAAATTATAAAACAACAGCTGAGATATATTTTTCAAAAAATATCCTACATGTACATTTTCTATTTTCCCGCTTCTCTCTTACTTTTTCATTTTCTCACCCATCCTTCCATGATCCCACCTTCCTCTCTCTTTCTTTTTATTTTTTTTATTTTCTCTCATTTTAATTTTTCTCTCTATTTGTTTTTTTGTTTTTATTTTTTATTTTCTACTTTTTGTACGCTTATTTTTATTCATATTATATGGAAAAGTCTACGTTCTCAGAATTAGGAACCAGATTTTGCTGTGCATAGTGGAGATTAAATTAATGAATTTTATAGTCCACAAATTAAATAAATTTTAACAATTAATTATTATTTTTAAATACATTGAGTACCTAATAGACTTCATAAATTTTGATCTTATATGAATCTTCAACATTTATATAATAAAGCACGATGGTTTTTGAATTTATCCTACACACATTTGTCCTAC